TATTATTAATTTAATATACTTTAAGATATTTTTGTTTAAAAGTTGTGCTATAAATAATTATTAGAACTCTAATTAGAACAACTTATTAACTTATTTCAGTGTGGCACCGGTAATAACATTTTTGAGTGTTTGGATAAACAATTTATAACGGTGTTAAACCGGTAATAAGGAGTTTTTAAATAAGTTAAATCATTTTGACTTATAATAAGTTGACAAATGTTTTTGTAAAAAAACATAAATTGTTTCAAATAAGCAATCTCAAACACTCCCGAATTAACCAAACAGTATGTAAACAAAATTTACAAGATAACTTATAATTTTATAAAATAGAAGATAGGACCGGTCTCGGTTAAAAGTTGAAACTGATTAAACATGCCCACATTTTGATTTAGGACCAGTCCTCTCAATTGGGCTTTTTGTGCTCTGCGAATTTATACGACTACTTCTGTATCAATTTTAGTGTTTATTAAAATTAGTGTTTCAATTGTGTGTTGTACGGTAGCGATAATATCATTTCCAAAAGAAATGTTAATAGACTAAAATTTGAAAAGCTCTTCTAAAAAAATTAGGCAAATATGTATGGCAACTACTCATTAACATTAAAGGTTTTTATGAGGATTGACAATAATCTTATAACCATTTGCTAATTTAAGTTATCTAAGTATGCTCAAGAACGGTGTTGCAAAATACTCTATAAATGTTTGACTAATGCTAGTAGTTTGTTTAATTAGAAGTCACGGTTTTAACTGAAATCTCATCTAAGGTGACAAAATCACGATTTTAATTTTGTAACAAGTATAATTGAAATCCCATTTGAAGTTATGAAAAAAGAAAGGTTCTATCATATTTAAAGTGAAAATTAGAAAAGTGAGTAAGTTATAGTAACAATAGTGGAAGTTCAAGAAAGTGCATGAGGAACCGCATCACCAAACTAAGATAATAGATATAAAATTATAAAATTAATATCAAGTGGGTCGATGACCCATATATCATATATTAAACTGATAAAAATACTACACTTTATCGTAAGTTCTATAATATTTGAATTGTAATTAAAGGAGTGTGTCAAATCTTGATAGTAGTAACACCAAGATGCCAAATCATCATCCTTGGTTTCACTTTTATAATTGTACTATAATTTTTATCATTTAGTTGGTTTTGATTCCAACCATGGTATAGATTTCAAAGACGGTAATCCAAATTAAGACAACTCTATGAGGCAAATCTCATGATTTGACACAAAGGCATCCACTCCACATTTCTTATACACTTCACTTTGTTCAAAATTTTCAACCATTTATCAATGTGGGACAACTAAAACTCAACAACAATTTACCATTTGAGAATACTCAATATGATGTCACCCCAATATCCCAAGGTTTTCTTTTATATATATAAAGACATTTTTTATTTCATTATTAGTATTTATTTGTGTTCTTATTGTGGAAAAATAATCATGTCAATTTTATTTTGGTTCATATTGTAAAACAAAAAAATACAAGCTAAAAAGTTTCATATTCTAAAATTAATATATTATGAAAATAAAACAGTACTCTTAGAATTTAGTAGTTGATTGTGAACTAGTATATTTGAGAAACGAATATAT